TGTGTGTGTGTCTGTGCCTCTCTCTCTCCTGTGTGTGCATGCACCTAGGAAAGCCTGTGCAAGGCCATGGTGAGAAGATGGCTGTCTGTAAGCCAGGAAGAAAGCCCTCATCAGAAACCAAATTGGCCAAATCCTTGAACTTGGACTTCTAGCCTCTAGAACGGTGAGAAAACAGGGTGCTATTCTGCCTTCTCTAGACACATGGCCTCCTATTCTTAAAACAGTACAACTGTCATCTTTACCCCAGGGGACATCAAGCTATGACAGTAATAGTATAGGAAAGAGGGACTGGCCTCCTGTTATGGGGTGAACTGTGTCCCCCAGAAAGACATGTTAAAATTCTGACTCCTGGTACCTGTAAGTGTAAAATTCTGACTCCTGGTACCTGTAAATGTAAAATTCTGACTCCTGGTACCTGTAAAACGAAATCACACCAAATGCATCTAATTCCTCTTTCCCACATGAAAGCCCTTCAAGTATCTGGACACAGCTCTCAAGTCTCCGGAGTCCATTTCCTCCCCCGAATAATCCTTACTTGAAAACAGAGTTGCTGCCAATGTAAACCATCCAGTTTTGGCATTTTGTTATGTCAGCAGACTATACAGGTAGGTTGGGTTTGAGAGAGCTGAGAGGGAAGCCATATCAAAATGTGTAACAGGAAGACTGAAATGCAAGTGGAGAACAGATGTGGAAGTCATCAGAGTTTGGGTTGAGGCTGAAACTATGGGAGTACACGTGATCAATGGCAGAAGGTTCTAGAATAAGAGGACTGAAGGCTGAGGACAGACCCTGAGGGGCAATGGGGAAGCCATGGAGGAGCTGTGAAGGAGCAGCCAGAGAGGTAAAAGAAAACCAGGAGGCTGAGGTGAGAGGAGCCCAGGGAGCAGAATGGGCAAGGACAGGGAGTCACATTGGGGTACTAGGGACTCAATGCACCCACCTTTTTATAGTAGAGGGGGCTCTGAACCAGGAAGATGTGAGAATGATGGGCTTTGCCCTGCAAATAGAAAGTCAAAGATGGAAGGGACCTAAAACTAAAAGGTGGCTCACCTAATTTGGCCCCTGGAGTTCTCACTGAACCAGGTTCCAACACACTACGAGGCCTCCAGGTGGAAGGTTTGGCTGGAGAGAAACTTTGGTGACGCCCCCAGGGGAAGACACCATCCCTGTGCCAGGCAATGTGCAAAGAGCTTTAAGATCTCATGTCACTCTCATAACAATGCTCTAAGGTTCGCATTATGATTATTTCCATTGCACAAGCGGGGAAACTGAGGCTCAGAGAGACCACAAACCTCTCTCAATGTGACACAGCGGGGACCACACTGGAATTTACCAGGTCTGATGCAATTCCAGAGTCTGTGCTATTTTCCTAGAACCCATTTCCTCTGTGCACAGAAACTGACATAGTCCCTATAGGTTAGCCATGTCTCTAAACTCTGAGACTCTCCTTCCTAATTTGTCACAGCTCCAAGGAGAAGTCCTGCTGTCACCTAGTCCATGACCAGCATTAACACAGTGTATGCATTTAGGTTACATCTAGGCTGCTAGCTATTATAATCACGGCACCTAGCATAGCATTGGTCACATAACAAAAACTTAGCCAATACTGGCTATGTGAAATGGACAAATGAACTAGTGAACAAAATCCCCAGCCTCTAGTGACACGGAATCCAGGCTCATGATACATGGTCTATTTGTTTGGGGCAAAGCTTTGCCTTCTATAAAGATTTTAAAAGGAATTGAAATTATGTAACCTTGGGAGGCTTCTGGTACAGGGGGAAAATCCATGGGCTTCTGAAGCCAGGAAGACATGAGCTCAAATCCCAGCTCAGCTACTTCCCATGCTTCTGTGTAACCTCAGGCAGATTACTTCACCCCTCTGAGTCTCAAATTCCTCATCTATAAAATAGCAGCCATTGTATCATTGTAAGCATTGAATGAGATGAAGTAATGTCTTTCAAACTAGTGGTTAGCTATGAATCCTCCCTTAAAAGAAGGCTGAAAAGAGCAAAAGAGAAGAAAGGAGAAGAAACAGAGGCAGGGTGGTCAGAGCCCTCCACCCTGAGCATGCTCTGCCCCATCATGGAGGTCCCTGGAGGGTACCCCAGGTCTTTGCAGGACACTGTGAAAAGCCTGAGATAATGAACATAAAGCTCTGTCACATAGTAGACTTTCAAAAAGTGTTATGCCCCTTTCTTTTCCAACGAAATCACACCAAACGCATCTAATTCCTCTTTCCAACATGAAAGCCCTTCAAGTATCTGGACACAGCTCTCAAGTCTCCGGAGTCCATTTCCTCCCCTGAATAAACATTGAGGGGGTCATCAACATTTCTTATGGGAATTGGCTTAAATCCTCTCCTTATCTATCCCAAGCTGAGGTTCCCACATCTAAGCTCAATTCTCTGGTGCCTGATCAGGGCAAGATAAAGCACAACCAACTTCCTGGGATAAATTCCAGTAGCTAATTTTTTTTTAAAGTCTTAAATCATGACTTGATCTTTATTTCCACTTTATCTTATTCTACTAATTTAGCCACCAGCTCTACCCCACCCAGATCTTTCTGCAGTCTGTTTCCTGACTGGTGTTGTCATCCCTTTCATGTTCACACTATTTATGTTTTATCTAAACCATTGGCAAAATATGGACAGATTAAGGGCATGCAGATGACATGGGATCATTCCTCTCTGCTTTTGGGAACATTCACTGCTGAACATCCATAGAATTTCTGAAATGGGAGAAAACTTAGAAACTTTGCATCCATCTCCATTCCCCTTTTTCAAAGTAGTGAGTGACAGGGCTTGGACCTGAATCAAGGTCTCCTGATCGTTTTGTCTGGTGCTCTTCTCATAGCACCACAGCTGCTTATGTGTAACTTTATGCACCAGAATGGCCCATTCATTGAACCACCTATGTACTGGCTCATAAGCTACTCACTAATTGCTTTGTAATTTCTTATGTTCACATTTCTTAAACTAACCATCTTCACAGGACCCCTGTGACCCACGCTGTATTATTATCTCCATTTCACAGATGAAGAAACAGATCTCTAGAAAGGTTCCATGACCTGCCACAGAGCTAGAAAGTAACAGAACCAGGACCTAACTCAGAATCTGTCACCCCATAAGTATTTTCTGTCTGCTGCTTGGCCTTCCCTAGACATATGGCCTCCTGGTCTTATAAAATCTCAGTATAGCTGTCATCTTTACCCCCGGAGACATCATTGTATGAAGTGTTAGTGTAGTATGGGCTGGCCTCCTATTATGGGGTAAACTGTGTTCCCCAAAAAGACATGCTAAAGTTCTGACTTCTGGTACTTATAACTGTGACCTCATTTGGAAACTGTCATTGCAAATGTAATCAAGTTAAGATGCGGACATACTGGAGTCAGGAGGGCCCTTAGTCTAATATGCCGGTGTCCTTATAAGAAGAAGACAGAGAGACACACAGGAACATGTGTGATGACAAAGGCTAAGATTGGAGTGATGCAGCTACAGCCAAGAAACAGCAAGGACTCAAGCCATTACCAGAAGCTAGGAAGAGGCGGGGGAGGATTCTACCCAGAGTGGGAGCCATGGCCCTGCTGAGCCTTGATTTCAGGCTGCCAGGCTCTACATCATGAGAGAATAAATGTGCATTATGTGAAGTCAGCCAGTCCACGAAAACTAATACACTTCCTGTGTACCCAGTCTGGAAACAGATACAGGTCCTGGAGCAGGAGAAGCCTATGGTACACTGGGGATATGGTGTGTGAGCTGCCCTGAAGGGACGCCTTCTCCTCCCTATTCTCCCTGCCCCCACCAGAGCCCCTGTCTCCCTAGTAGCCACCTAGTCACTTTGAGGACTTCAGGCTCACTTTCATGACAAAGCCCTTCCTGATCCCCTTTCACATGTTCCTGAAAGGATGTCTGCTCCCTTCTCTGTGCTCCCACTGGCACTGTCCAGGAAGCTCACTCGCATGCCATTTCATTTGCTTTCCCCTCTGTCTCACCACTAGAGCACAAGCCCCTTGAGGCGAAGCCTAGACTTGATGTGTCTGTCCCCCTTGCACTGGTCTAGTCTCTGGTACCTAAGAGGGGCTCAACAGTAACTTGTGGATGGCTTCTCCTTCTGTCTTTGTAGGGATTGGCATTAGTCGTTATCGGCCAAAGGAGCATTGGAAGTGCACAGAAGGGTGATGTTGAGGGTATCTCTTGGGCCTGGGATTTGCAGTTTCCTTCATGCCTATTCTAAGCAAAAGAGGGAGACTCTTGTCTTTCTCAGGCATCTTTCTCAGGCCACCTACAGTGGTGTTTATCTGTTCCTAGCCCTATGCACAGAGTCACTCACTCACCACATGATACCCAAATAGTGTAGCTTGGGAAGCTATTGTCCTCTCTAGAGATTTTAAAAATAAGCAAGGCCTCTTAAAAGTCTCCATGAACTAGGTATGAATTGGGGATGGAACTGAGGTGTGCATTTAATGCTGGGTGCCTACCATTTTAAGTGATTTATCTCAGATAATCCTCAAAACAACCAGAAGGCCCTCAGAACAAAGAAGGAGGCTGGGGCTCAGAGGAGTGGAATAACATGCCTAAGGGGGAGGAATCTAGTGCAGGGCAGAACCAGGATCCCAGGGCCAGGTACGGTGGCTCACGCCTGTAATCCCAGCACTTTTAGAGGCCAAGGCTGGTGGATCATTTGAGGTCAGGAGTTTGAGATTGGCTTGGACAACATGGTAAGACCCCATCTCTACTAAAAATACAAAAATTAGCCGGGCATGTGGGCGTGTGCCTGTAGTCTCTGCTACTCAGGAGGCTGAGACAGGAGAATCACTTGAACCTAGGAGGCAGAGATTGCAGTGAGCTGAGATCCTGCCACAGCACTCCAGCTTGGGCAAGAGTGAGACTCTGTCTAAAAGCAAACAAACAAACAGACAAACAAAAAACCCTCTGACTTCAAATCCAGACCCCATCTCTGACTCCCAGGACATAGTTCATGTGGCTTGCCAGAAGCAGTTACCTTCGTAAGAAGCCTTGAATCCCAGAGAGCTGCCACTGCCATCAGTCTGGAAGAGTAGCCACATTTGATGATTGGTGCTGACAATGAGATCCGGGACCGATGTACCTGTCAGGCTGGCAGGAGAGAGATATTTAGAGGTGTGCTCTCCACCATGACACCTGAAGAGAATGATTGCCTGACAAATGATATCTAAAGGATTATCCGGGATCCAGGCCCATTCCGGCAAATTCTGGGCCCCTCTGTGTTTCTGACATTGGAGGCCAGCAGCATGCTCTCCATGTGCTGGGAAGACTCATCCCATCTCCCTCTTGGCCATGGGTAGAATCTCATGGGCTGAATCTCAACTTTGATTCCCTCACCCAGACCCTTGGGTTCCCAAGGGAAATCTGTGTCCTTACTTGCTCCGGGGATAGGGATAGTTGGAGCCAAGTCTAATCAACACTCTTGCAACTTTTGAGCTCTTGTGTGACCTGTATTGCAGAAAAGACCACCCCCCACTCACCTCCTTGCTGTCTTTATGTGGGTTTCCCCTCAAGGAAACCTATTTCCCCATTTGGAAGCCAAACTATTCTTTCAACAAGGCATCTCCTTCCATTCCAGTATAAGAAACAAGGCTTAAAGTATAGTCATTATCTGAGGGCCACATTTCTTCTGAAGAAGGTTTAAGCATGGGTGGGGCAGGGAATTCAATTCAGAATCCCAACCCCAAGCACCTACCCATGTCAGATACTGTCCTTACCAATTTCCTACCCATTATCTCATTTAACGCCCTTGTTGCCAGGAAGGTAGGGGTTTTCGACCCACAGTACAGATGAGAATACGAAAGTGCAGAATGGGGAGTGGCTTCCCCAAGATCATCTTGATAGAGTGGCAGAGCCAGGAGTCCCCTGTGCAGGCTGGGGTTTCCAGAAGAAATCCAACCTCATCCTTTTGTTGAACTCAGACAAATTGCTAGCATAGATGGAGGCAGAGGGTTGTGGGTGGGTGGGGGGGGGCAACTGAACTAATGAGTGCTAATCTTTGCTTCACCCAGGGTCTCAGAGCTTGGGAGGCTGTCGAGTTGGCTGCAGAGAGGTCATCACACCATAAGGGATATGGGAGTGGAGCTGGGATAGAGCACCTGGGACCCAAGAGCCTGGCCTGTGTAATATCCCCAAGCCTGCGCTCTGACAAGCTGAGTAAAACTGCGGCCAGGTCAGTGCTGGCTCTTCACTCTGGGGTGCTGATGAGCAAGGGAAAAGGTTGGGACCCCTGCTTTTCCTCTGTTTGGCCCAATTACAATACCAGGCTCTGGCTCTGCCATTAATTTGCTGTGGGACCTTGGGCACGGGTTGAGCCTCTTTGGGCTTTTTCACTCTACGTTAAGTGAGGGGATTGTATGGTATGAGCTGCAATAGCCTTTTCAAAAGCTCTGCTATTCTAAGGTTCTTTCTATGTCAAAGCACTCTGGGATTATGGGAGGAAAGACAGCTAGGATCCTCATCTCTTGGGCACAAAGAGCTGAGGCACCACACAGGTCAGTAAATTAGGGCAGAACATGAGTGATAGCGATGTACCAAGTGAGGGGAGAGGTAAGTATGATGGCGAGTTTTATGTGTCAACTCGACTATGCCACATCGTGCCCAGATATTTGGTCAAACATTATTCTGGATGTTTCTGTGAAAGTGCATTCAAATGAGAGGAACGTTGAAATCAACAGACTGAGTGAAGCACATTTCCCTCTCCAAGGTGTGGGGGTCTCATCCAATCAGTTGAAGGACCAAACAGAACAAAAATATGGACCCCCCCCCGGCCAATTCCCAAATAACATAATTCCTCCTGCCCAGTTGCCTTTGAACTGGGACATCAGCTTATTTCCAGCTTTTGAACCTGAACTGAAACAGCAGCTCTTCCTGGATCTTGAACCTACTGGCATCTGGAGTGCAACTACATCATTGGCTATCCTGGGTCTCTAGCTTCTCAACTCACCTGGAAGATCTTGGGACCTGTCAGTCTCCCAAAATCACATGAGACAATTTCTTACAACCAATTATTTACCTATCTGTCTATCTACCTATCATTTAACTATCAATAATCTACATCTATTTATCATCTATCTCTGTATCATCTATCATCAATCAATCAACCATCTATAAGCTATTATCTATCTATCTATCTATCTATCTATCTATCTATCTATCTATCTATCTATCAGTCATCTCTATCTCCTATCATTCTGTTTCTCTGGAGAACCTTCACTAATACAGTGGATTAGGCAGGGTAGGGGAAATGCCCTGTGGGCTCACGCTCCATTCCTTTGTCCAGAGAAATCCAAGTCCCAGCCATGTCACCTGATTCAGTGGGTACCTTCAGATAAGATGAGTCATGTAACTTCCTGTATAGCATCATCTTCAGGTAGGTGTAGGGAAGTTGCAAGAAACACCCAGAAAGAACAGCCTCTGGACAAGCCAGCTGTTACTAAATGACCATTTCTCATTCAGCATTAGAACCACAAGGAGATATCCTGGAGCTAGTCTTGTTGGGAGGGAGTATGGCATGAGATATCGTCCTTGGTTGAAATCAAAAGACATGAACTTGAGTGCTGGTTCTGCTATCAACCTTCTCTGAAACCTTTGGGCCTGTCTCCCCATCTGTTAAATGAGAATAATAACACCAGGGCTTAAGTGAAATAACTGATGCAAAAGTTTCCATCCCAGTGCCTGGGAGTATGATGGTAGGTGTTCAATGTTGGTGACTCTCCACCTCCTTGTTGGAAGGGAGATGGATGTGGTCAGGCCTGTTTGTCCCTGAAGCTAAGCTATGAGTCCTGAACAGAAGTATTTCCCAGCTTTTTTTTTCTTTTTTTAGACAGGATGTCACTCTGTTTCCCAGTCTGGAGTGTAGGAGCATGCTCTCAGCTCACTGCAGCCTCAACCTCCCAGGCTCAAGCTATCCTCCTGCCTTAGCCTCCTGAGTAGCTGGGACTACAGGCATGCACCACTACATCCAGCTAATTTTTGTATTTTTTGTAGAGATGGGTTTTCACCATGTTTCCCAGGCTGGTTTAGAACTCCTGAGCTCAAGCAATCTGCCTGCCTTGCCTTCCCAAAGTGCTGGGATTGTAGCAATGCACCACCACACTTGGTCTTTTTCCTGGTTTTCAAGTCAGGATACTGATAGTGGGTAAAGGAGAAGCTAAATGGCCCCCATGAGCACAGGCTCAACATAGTGGAATCCCGTGACAGCTTGATATTCGCTTCTCCTTTGGCTGGAACACATCATACTGGTCCTTTTCAGTTCAAGAAGTATGGCCACTGTGTCTATATGGTCCTGATTCTCTGAAACCATCCATTTCCCAGGGATTTCTGAGCATGCAGAAAGGTTAGCAACTCATTTTCATTATCTCTGTCTGAGGTCAGGCTGCCATGGCTGAATGTGGTCTGGAGTAAAAACTGTCAGGGTGGCAGCATCAGGGTCTGCATGGAAGCAGCCAGCTAGTGGAAGGCTCCAGGTTCAGCCACAAAACCTCCATCTCCCTTGCCTGCTAAGAGACTGCTCATTCTATTCACGTTTATATCAATTCCTAGTGAGAAGATGCCCAGTGCTCTTTTCCCCTTGGTCAGGGTAGAGAGAGGTGGAGGGATTACTGCTGAAGCTAGGAACATTGCAGGATACTGTCTTTGCCGTAGCATGATCTAGGGACCAGGCAGGACTCCATAAACCCCACCCCACCAACTCCTGCCCTTCAAACAACATGCCCCACTGTACTTACATGTACAGAACTGTCTTCTGGTCCCCATCCTGACCACCATCCCCAACCGTCAGGGTGTCATAACCCCTCTCCAAATCGAACTCCTCAAAGGCGAGCTTGATCACCTGGGGAGGAAGCACAGGGTTAGGAGCAGGCAGGGCTGCGAGGAAGCCTTCCAAAAGCCTTGAGGGGAGGAAAGATTTTCTGTGCTATGTCCCAATGCCTAGAGTCACTGGTGACACCATCCTACACAAACTGATCACTTCTGTGCCATTTTAATGAGTGTGAACTATTTCTCTCTAGGCCATGCAGTCTCCAGGGCCCACTGATATTTCTGAAGATGTTCATGGCACATCTGGCCAATTCCAGGGGCTGTAACAGCAATCGGGCACATCTGGCTGACAGCAAGATGATTAGACTCTTTCTTCATGCCTTCATGCACAGAAATCCCTGTGGGCTTGTTGGCAATTTTTCAGGCCACATGTGGAATCTCAGCTCTCTTGCCCCCAGGGACCTGCAGAAGTTTCTCTCATCTTCTCCTCTGCCTGCATTTCTCCATCCTTTTTGTTTGCTTATTTGTTGAATAAATGAAATGTTCTCAGAAAGAGATTTCAACAAGATTCTTCCTGCTTGTTTTAATCCTGCCTTCTACAAATATTTACTAAGCACTCACCATATACCAGGCTGGGTGGTGGGATTTCCACAGTGAGCACGACATGGTCCCTGCCTTCAGTAAGAAGGGGAGACAGAAATGCAAACTGATAATCATGGCACTGGGATGGGATGAATGCTATAGGGGGGCTGTGGGAGTGGAGAAGAGCCTGTGGTTCACTCAGCTGGAGTCAGGGGCAGGCATTACTAGAGATTGGAGTGTCTGAGGAAATTCTGAAGGCTACTGATGATCCTGTCAGGCCAAAGGGGGATACTGTGAGAAAGAGGGAGGCAGATGCTCTGGGAAGGAGTCAGGTGCACAAGGCCTGAGCTATGGCAGAGATGTAACATTCCAGAACAAATTATTCAGTGTCTGTCATTATCAGATCTACAAACTGAACATACCTGCTAGCTGCCTGGCATTGGTGGGGATAATGTGGCTGGGTCTTCAGTGCAAGGAGATGACTTGGGAAGGTCTAGGATTTGAAAAGTTTGCCTGGAGCTTGGTTCAAAAGGTCTCATACCTCCACCTTCCAATATTAGGGTTTATCCCAGGGGAGGAGCAGTAGAGTTTTAAATAGTGGGTGACAGGGATACATAGGTGTTTAAGAAAATGCCAGTGTGGCAGTATGTGTGGAACTGACTGCAGGAGTGAGGCTGGTGGTGAGGATGGTTGTAGGCTTTTGTAGTAGTGCAGATGAGCGATGGAAGAGCAGCAGTGTGGATGAAGAAGAGGGAAGATCCTAGTGATATTTGGGGCTTGGTAACAGGATGCATGTGGTGCTGAGGGGAGGGAAATATCTGGCTTGGGCAAATGGATGGGTGAGGGATGGTGCCATTCATAAGGACAGGACACACACAGAAAACACTCCTCATGTTTAATCGGTATCTCTTTTTGTCTGTTTCAGTCTGGTTTTAATCTGATGATGACCTTTATTCCCCCAACAGGGAGACTGAAGTTGCTCCTTTGCTTTCTGTTCTACGACTAAAGGAGTATATAATTTCCGTGGATATTTTTTTCTAGTGGTGGCTGACACCTTCTGCAGGTTTTCTCCATCCAACCCAAACAGTCTGGCACCCATGTCCTGCCAGGGACCCTACAAAGCCTCACCCCAAGGTGCTTTTTCAGGTATACCAGAGGCAAATTGACACTGTCCTCATTCATGAGCCTGCGTAGTGTCTATGCAGGGCCCCTCTGCAGTGGCATGAGAGTCACAGAAAGGTGCATCTCTGGATAATAGCATCTGTGAGCACTTCAGTGGGTCTACAGATAGAGAAGAGGAAGGAAGTGATTGTCTTTGACTGGAAGAAAGGTTAAAGGAGGCTTCCTGGAGGAAATGAAACCCTGGCTGAATTTGGAAGATAAACTTGAGTTCAACCAATGGATATGGAAGGGCAAGCAACCGAGGCAGAGGGCAGAGCAGGGGCTTGGAACAGGGTGACTTGTCCAGAGAGGTCTAACTACTGTGTAGTTATTTAAGGGAGGGGGAGGTAAAGGGTGGTGATATGAGAGAAACAGGAGTCAGATTATCAGAAGCTGCCTGTCATGCTAAGAATTTTGGGCATTGTCCTAAAGTCAATGGGGAGTTATGGAAGGGTTGGCAGTAAAGGCAATGATATGCGATTTTTGTTCTAGGAGCAGCATTGAGAGAGGAGCCAGGAGCCCAATTCCTGACTTTCAATTAGGTGAGGTGGGATGTGAGCCTGTAGCAAGGTCCAGGTGAGGTGGGATGTGAGCCTGTAACAAGGTCCAGGTGAGGTGGGATGTGGGCCTGTAGCAAGGTCCAGGTGAGGTGGGATGTGAGCCTATAGCAAGGCCCAGGTGAGGTGGGATGTGGGTCTGTAGCAAGGTCCAGGTGAGGTGGGATGTGAGCCTACAGCAAGGTCCAGGTGAGGTGGGATGTGGGCCTGTGGCAAGGCGTATGTGAGGTGGGATGTGAGCCTGTAGCAAGGTGTATGTGAGGTGGGATGTGAGCCTGTAGCAAGGTGTATGTGAGGTGGGATGTGAGCCTGTAGCAAGGTGTAGGTGAGGTGGGATGTGGGCCTGTAGCAAGGTCCAGGTGAGGTGGAATGTGAGCCTGTGGCAAGGTCCAGGTGAGGTGGGATGTGAGCCTGTGGCAAGGTCCAGGTGAGGTGGGATGTGAGCCTGTGGCAAGGTCCAGGTGAGGTGGGATGTGAGCCTGTGGCAAGGTCCAGGTGAGGTGGGATGTGAGCCTGTAACAAGGTCCAGGTGAGGTGGGATGTGGGTCTGTAGCAAGGTCCAGGTGAGGTGGGATGTGAGCCTATAGCAAGGCCTAGGTGAGGTGGGATGTGGGTCTGTAGCAAGGTCCAGGTGAGGTGGGATGTGAGCCTACAGCAAGGTCCAGGTGAGGTGGGATGTGGGCCTGTGGCAAGGTGTATGTGAGGTGGGATGTGAGCCTGTAGCAAGGTGTATGTGAGCCTGTAGCAAGGTGTAGGTGAGGTGGGATGTGAGCCTGTAGCAAGGTGTAGGTGAGGTGGGATGTGAGCCTATAGCAAGGCCCAGGTGAGGTGGGATGTGGGTCTGTAGCAAGGTCCAGGTGAGGTGGGATGTGAGCCTGTGGCAAGGTCCAGGTGAGGTGGGATGTGAGCCTGTAACAAGGTCCAGGTGAGGTGGGATGTGGGTCTGTAGCAAGGTGTAGGTGAGGTGGGATGTGGGCCTGTAGCAAGGTCCAGGTGAGGTGGGATGCAAGCCTGTAGCAAGGTCCAGGTGAGGTGGGATGCAAGCCTGTAGCAAGGTCCAGGTGAAGTGGGATGTGGGCCTGTAGCAAGGTCCAGGTGATGGTGGGATGCGAGCTTGTAGCAAGATACAGGTGAGGTGAGATGTGAGCCTGTAGCAAGATATAGGTGAGGTGGGATGTGAGCCTGTAGCGAGGTATAGGTGAGGTGGGATGTGAGCCTGTAGCGAGGTATAGGTGAGGTGGGATGTGAGCCTGTAGTAAGCAGTGTTTGCAGCAAGTTAGTAAAGAGGAGATGGGATTTGTCAATAGTGAATGAGGATTCCTTGGCCCTTCTTGGTTTCCTATCCAGATTCCTTGGCCCTTCTTGGCTAATGGTATCATCATGGGATCATTTGCTCAGGTTAGGATGTCCTACCCATTTCTCACACTCCACAATCCTGCTGTACAGAACATTTCCTTGGGTCTCATTTCCTAGCATGAAATAAAAGGAAGGCATCTCTGCACCTGCTCCCTTCTGAATGCCCTCCACTGAACAGCCTGTGTGGCCACTTGAGATCCTGGGCATTCCCACCAAGGCAGCCCATTCATGACCCTTACTTATGCAGGCTCTTCCCCATTCCTGTCGCTGCCCTAGTGCATTTCTCCTCATCTGCTGGCCTGACTTGTCTCAGTTCTCTCTGACTAACCTTGACAAGGGGAGTACCCCCTGCTCAGCTCCTTCCTCTTGTTTGTTTTGGCACTTACCTGCTGGACTGTGATGGATCTGTTCACTTATTACTCCACTACACCATGAACTCCTAGAGGGCAGGGGTCAGGCCTCACTGCCCTGTACCAGTTCCTGTCAGTGGGTCAGGCCCATGCCAGGGGCTGACAAGATGTTGACTGGGAGAACATTTTCCAACCTTTCCTGCTTCTCTAGCATGAATGGATTGCTAGGCTCTCAGACCCCTCACAGTGGTTACCATCTAGAGCAAAGCTTGGCAAACTTTTTCTGTAAAGGGCCAGATAGTAAATATTTTCCCCTTTGTGTGTCATGCAATCTCTGTCACAGATATTCAGCTCTGTTGATGTAGCATGAACATAGCCATACACAATATGTACATGAATGGGCATAGCTGTGTTCCAATAAAACTTTATTTACAAAATGAGCAAAGATGTATTTGGCCTGTAGGCTATAGTTTGCTGATCCCTGTTCTAGGAGATTCTTCAAGACAATCGTAGTCTTTGATCATCTTCTCTTATGAGATTTCATCACTCTAAGAGTTGATACTTACAATGTGCTCAATTCTGTTCTGAACACTTTACACATATCAACTCATGAGAAACACAGCACAATAGCTACTTTGAGAACCTCCATTTTACAAATAGGACAGGCTAGGCACAGAATTTAGGCAACTTGCCTGGGGTCACACAGCTAAGTGGCAGAGCCGGGACTCCCACCAGGCAGCCAGAGGCCCAGGCTCTCTGTCACTCTGCTCTGCTGCCTCATGGTGTTCCAGCAAGGTCACAGGTCCCACAAGATAGAAACCATGACTTTAGCCTGTTTTCTTGCAAACCTTCCTTGAGCTTTTTTTCTGGGTCCCAGCAGGAGGTCAGCAAACAGTTGCTGCATATACAACACCACAAGGTAGGTGATGTCTTCTGCAGGAGGAAGGGCCTGGGCTCTGCAGGGACTAAAGGTCCTGGCTGCGTATTCTCACCACATCTGCCCCTTCCAGCCAGCCCTGGGGCAGAGGACACTGCTCACCCAGCCACCTCCAAAAAAGGGAGTGTATGATTATTAGGCCTATTATAGGAAAATATTGCTTTGAAGGCCAGAACCCAGAGCTATAAAATGATTCACATCACTGGTTAGAGCTGCCATTGACGTGAACCACATTTCAGAGTGCCGACCCTAACGCAGGAGCTAATTACACAAGGAGAGTGTTCAATGTACACAATGCTGCAGTTTCAGGATAAGCCCCTAGTGCACAATGTACTGGCACTCTCTCCCCTTTTTTTCCTCCTCTGCTTTGGCCTTTGTTTAAAGACAGGCTCCTATAATGACTCATTAACTAACATGCAGATCAATCAAGCTCACAAAGCGCCTTTCGGAGGCAGGAGAAATGGCAGCACATGAAATAGGCATGATCAAAGAGGCACATTTGTATACAGCTCAGACACCCAATTTAAACACATTAGATAAATGAATAAACAAACCCATCATCTAGGACATAATTACTGCGCACCTGCCATGTGCCAAGCCCAGAGCTAGCTGCTTCCCATAAGTTATCTTGCTTGCCTGACAATTTAGAGCAGAATCTAAATGCAGAAGACATGGTGCTGATGGTGAGTGCTGGAGGAGTGCAAGGAGGAAAGAGATGAAAGGGTGTCCATGGAGGAGGTGGGCCTGGGCCTGGTGGGATGGAGAAGGGTATGTGTGGGCTCAGCCCAGGCTACTTGGTGAGCAGTGAAGGGCCAAGGAGTGTGGGAGAGGAAGAGCCAGGCTGAGCCTGCAGATGATTTTACCTGCAGCCAGAGCAGGCAGTCTAGACTTCATGGTCAAGTTGATGGGAAGCTATAATTCAGTGTGAAGGGAGGACTGGAGGCAGATGCAGGGTCCAAGAGCATGAGGAGAAATTAGGGGGACCCTGAGTCTGTATTCATGACAGAGGGTAGGAGGAGGGAGTCTGGGAGACCAGAGCCCTCTGAACATAGCCACCTTGTCCTGAGAATTGTGGCGGATGGAGTGGGACCCTGGAGGACATCCACTGGAGGCCCTGGAGAACATTCCCTCCTTGCTATGTGCTGTCCAGGATCAGACAAAAGACAGGGTTCCCAGTGCTGCCAGCCCATGCTCAATGCCTGCACAAGGCAGCAGAGGATCTACCAGCTTGGGGAGTTTTGTGGGAAGCTGGAGTCTCAGGAGATGTAGATTGAGGCTATTTTGTTTAAGGACTGCTTTGCTATAACACCCTCCTGACTGGGTTCTCTGTCTCTGCCGCCCATCTTTTACTACGTACCAAATACTCTCAGCGCCTCCCTATCTCCTACAGCAGGAGTTGGAAAGCTAGCTCTTAGACCACATCTGTCCTATAGCATATTTTTATATGGCCCTTATACTTAAGAAGGATTTTTTATACATTTCATGAGTAAAAAAACAAAACCTACAACATAGAAGAATATGCAACAAAAACCTTACATGGACTTTAAAGCCTAAAATATTTATTGTCTAGCTCCTTACAGAAAAAGTTTGCTGATGGCTTCTCTAGAGCAATGGTTTTCAAACTGGGTTCCCAGGCACCCCAGGGTTCCATAAAGGTACTCTAGGGCCAACCCACTAGGATGGAAGAGGAACCAGAGTAGGCAAGGCTCTGCTTATACCAAAACAGTTTCATTCTGATCTAGTTCATATTTGGGAATGCTTTGAACAACATGGATAGTGGGTTACTTACTGTCCCTTTCTCCATTTATTTATCCCTAGCAGAACGCTGACTTTACTGGGAGTGTGATAATGTACCTAGCCAACCTTAGAGCTAAGGGTTGCTACATGAGTTCTGGGCAATGAAACATGGTTTGAGGAGTCCTCAGTGCATTTCCTCATCCTTCTCTTTGCTTTTCCTGGAATACAGATGTAAGGACAGAGAGGGGGCAGCTTGCTTGTGATCATGAGGATGAGAACCACATGCAAAGCAGCAGAGGGAAAAATACAAGGAGCATGAGACCCAGAGGGAACCAGCCCTGGACTTTCTGCCTCTGGACCTTTGGTGTGTGAAGAAAATAATCCATGGGTGGTTTTCTGCACCTCCCAGCCAATTACAACCTCATTGCTACAGGTTCTGTAAACAGGCGCTCAATACCATTGAAGAGTTTGCCAACTCTTGACCCATAGGATAGACAACATCTTGGCTTGGAAACTGCAGGCTTTGCAAGGTCTGCCCCTGCCACTTCCTGGCTAGCTAGAGGCCCCTCCACAATGCTGTCCTCCAGCCTTACCTTCCATATTTCTCCTCAGAGCATTTATCTGGCCTCCTGAGGGCTGACTTTGGCCCACCCAGCCTCAGTTTACTAATGTTGCTGCCAGTGTAACTATCAGCTCCACGAAAAGATGGGAACTCACTTTTCCTAGGCACAGCTTGAGCCATGATTTCTTTCAGGGTCTTGCTGAGACCCTAGGAAAGGGCTGGAGAATTAGCTCCTGGGGTGAAGAGGGGAGGCCAGTGGGAAAGCTGAAGACCTGAACCCCCAGAGGTTCAAGGACAGAGGCCTCCAGCAGGGAATGAGGGTCAGAGGTTCTGGAACTTTGAAGGGTTCTGGAACTCCAGCAGGGAATGAAGCGTCAGAGGTTCTGGAACTTCGGTCATTACCTCAGGTTTCATTTTGGTAGTTCTGAGAGCAGTAAGTTCTTTCACTCATTCATTTATTCACTGAGTCATTCAACAGTTACACACTTGCCAAGGGCTGGGCTTTGGAGGTGAATTGGCAGGCAAGATAGCATGGCCACTGCTCATAAAGACCTCAAAGTTTCTAAAGAGCTTCACAGCAGACCCTGAGTACATAGACTACAATGCAGTGTGATGAATGCTCAAATCAGGGAAGCATGGATGGGGAAACAGGAGGGGCACAAAATCCTGGTGAGCGAACGGGCAGGGGGGCAGGGTTTGTCTTCAGCAGCAGAGAGGGTATGTGGGGATACCACACGGCCACAGCCAGATCTGGGGGAGGGGAAATGCCAGCACATGATGCGAAGTGGAGTCAGCTGTAAAAGGGAAAGGAATGAGGCTTTGGACTTGAGGAGGCCATGAAAGAGTCCCCCAGACATGAGGAGGGGCTGTGAAGGCACATGGGAAACCTCTGATTGCAGGTGTCTTGCACAAGGCCTGGCACAGAGAGGGTGTGAGTAAATGTTTGCTGAATGAATAAGTGAGTGAACAAATGGGCCAACGAGTATGTCCCTGACATTTGCACTAGCTGCTGATCACTTGCCTGGAGAATTATTTCTCAACTCTTCAGGTCTACAAAGGGAAGAGTGACAGTGATAATCCCCATGGAATGAATAATCAAAGCACTGTTATCTTTGGCTTTGAAGTTCATGAAATGAGCTTTCCTATCCCTCTTCCTTCCATGCCCCCTCCCTCTCCCTCTCATCCTCATTCTCTCTCTCCTGTTTCACTTTTCATTCTTTTTTAGCAAAGGTGGATTAACCTTCCTGATCAAATCAAGGGAGGCTCATGTGCAAATTGGATCACGTTTTGTGTTCATACTGAGCAGCTGCAAAGAAAGACAGATGTGTGTAGGTAGGGGGCATTGAGGCGGGTATGGGTTTCAGTCCTGACTATGTCTTTGTTCTTCCACGAGGCTGAGCTGAATGGTCCTAACAAGAGGAGGCCCTGGACGAAGAAGGCCTGAACCTCAAGGCCAATATGGGCGGAGCCATCCCAGAGGAGCTCCTCCACCAATAATCGCTCACATGTTCAAACATTGCTGAGCTGTTTCTCTGTGCCCACCCCTGTGCTAACTATAGAAGAAATAACAAAGTGCTATCCCTGCTTTCAGGGTGCTCAGGAGCTGTGGGGGAAATAGATTCTAAAGGCACAAAAACAAAAGGTGCTGATAAAGTGCTACAGGAACAGGAAAGAGCAACATGTGATGAAGTTAGGAAAGCTTCTCAGAAGAGGGGGTGTTTGGACTGCATCTTAAAGGGGGATAGGAATTGGCCTGGAGGAGAAGGGAAGGCACACTGGGACCAGATGTGCCCAGACAGGTCTTAAAGAGCCAGGTGTGTGTGTGTGAACCTGAGTCCAGTGTGATTGAAGCCGGAGCTGCCCAAAGGGAGAGATGGGGTGGGGGGCCATTCTGTGCTTTGCTGGGAGTGGGAGTTGCATTGATAACTTAAGTTTTGCTGGTCAGAACCACCAGGGTGCTCTTTAGAAATAAGTTTAGGTACCTACCCTAGACTCACTGAATTAGATCTTTAGGGAAAAGAGCTTAGGAATCCATGGTTTTAAAGTGTCTCCGAGGCATTTCTGATGAAATTTGGGAAAAAACTATTGTAGGTAGATATGAATTACTGTTAGACTAATATTATAAGGACTGAGATCACCCAAATGTGCAGGTGAGGTTAACATTGCCTGAGGACACCCCCGCCGAAGGGAGGGCCTGGAGGCTGCATGTGGAGTAGGCCTGCATCACTTGCTTGAGCCTTCCTTCCTCTGTTCCTTGAATCTATCAAGTTTCCAGGAGGATGAATTGGGGTGTTTTTATTTGTCTTACTCCTAGTTTATTGAGTATAGACCTATCTTTAACTTGCCTCTCCAGTAAGACTGTAAGTTCTTCCTGTTCCCATAGTGCAGAGGTGCACAGCCCATAGGTGCTCAGCTCATGCCAATGTCTTGATGTAGGTTCTTGGCCATTCCTACACCATAGCACCCCTGCTTCTCTCTGTTGGCCTTCTTATTGCCCTTGGAGGGCCCTAGTTCCTGGGACATTCCTAGCTCCTTGCCAAGCACAGGTAGCAGAGGTCCTTCAAGGGAGATGGAATTTTAGGAATGATCCTCTTGTGCAGGTGCCGGGAATGCATCATAGTTATTCCATGAGTACGAGCAGACCAAGGAGACACATGTGCCTCTTACACTCCCACAAGCAAACTTTCAGCCCCTTCTCACAACAGCATCTTTCTCCCCTTGCTCCTTGTAAAGGGAGCCCTGCATTCCCAATCCCATTGCCCTCTCACTCCAGAATCTCCCTTCTGTCACCATCCCTGTTCTCCTGTACCTTCACTCTCTCCCTCTTTGCTTACTTTTTCCTAAGCCTACAAATATAGTCCAGTTCCAGTATTTTAAGCACACCCCCCAAACTAACCCTAAGCTTTCTCTCTCACTTATGTCCCTCATATGTTACTGCCCATCCTGGCCTCCACAGCCTCACCTCCCATCCGTTTGCTTCCCATACTACTTCTGTCTGTTGCTGCCCCTGGAGCTTCACTGAAAGGTCTTCTTCCAAGGCCAAAGCCAATGGTCTCTTTCTAGCACTTTTCCAACAAGACATTTTTCATCATTGTCATGATCAGACATGCCCTAGTCGGAAACTCATCCTGCCTTTGCATCACGATTCTCCTCCCACCTGGCAGGCTGCTCCTTCTCTGTTCTTTCACTGGATCTTGTTCTTTCTCCTGTCAGATCCATTCTGAGTTTTCTTATTCTCTCAGGTCTTTCTAAGAAATGTTGTCCATTCCTTAGGCTTCTACCCTCACCCATGTGCTGAGATAACACCCAAACCTCTCCCTTAAACCCAGATTTATCCAGAATTTCCAACCAGTATATCCAAATGCCACTGAATGAGCCACAGACACTACAGATGCACCATGTTTCCCTTCTGACCCCTGCAAAGCATGTTCTTCCATTTGTATTTCCTTTTTAACTCTCCCACTGGACCAAGCCAGAAAGCACTAAGTCATCATTCAACTGTTCATGGAATAAATATAGACCAAGTACCTACTACGTGCCTGGAACTGTGTTGGTCACTTGGAATACAACGTTGAATAAGACCTCTCTTCCTCCCTCAGCTCTCACATCCAATCAGCTACCAAGTCCCACTCCATCTCCTAAATCTCTCTCATCTGTTTCCCCCTCCAATTTCCAAAGCCTTGGTGGATGCCCCCATTTTTCCTACTTCAGTAACTGCTTCATCCTCCTAACTGGTCTTGCCCCTTCCAGTACCCACCTGTAAATTTCTCCATTGCTGCTAGAGCAATTTTCCAAAGACTCAGATCTTCTGCTATTGCTTTAGTTCAGGAGACAGAGTGACCCTTGTCCTTCCTAGGCTCATTCCATGGAGGTCAAGCCCAGCCCCTTTCATCTACTCTGAGACCTTGTTCCATCTGACAGCACAGCCCAGCTACGTAAGTGCATGGGCTTTGGAACCAGGAAGACTGAGTTTAAATCCCAGTTCTGCCTCTTACTGGCTCTGTGCTGCAGCTGTTTCCTAACCTTTAACTTTTCCATGATTCAGTTTCTTTGACTATCAAATAGGCCTATTAAAATAAAATTCATTGTCCTATTAAGGGAATGAAATAAAATTATTCATATAGAGAGCTTAGCTTAGTGCTTGCCATGGGACAGGTATATAATAAAGGCTACTGTTGTTAACAACAGTCTATCACTGCTAGCCTTAGCAATCTGTATTTTGAGATAAAACCCAAACTTCTTAGCCAAGCATGTGGGCTCCATGGTCTGAATCCTGCTTACCTTTCTGTCCTTACCTGCATTCAGGCATGTTGAATTACTTCCAGTTCTAAGGGGCTGTTCCAAACCTCAGTGCCTTTATACCTGTGTCCTCCCTGCCATACTGATTTCCAAGCCTACCAATCCTTCAAGACTCTGCTGACATGTCACTTCCTTTTTGAAAACTTCCCTGACCTCCCAGTTAGCAGCTCTTCCCTGATTCCCATAGCACTCTAGACAGGCCTCTGTCAGCATTTATCTGCACTCTAGCTTTTTTTTTAATTATTAAATTTTTAAATTTACAGACCTGTTCTTCACTCCTATGTGCACATTCCTCAAAGGCAGAGGCATATCTGCAGGCAATGAACGAATGAATGCTCGTCTCATGAAACATATTTTGAGAGATCAGGCATGGTGGCCCATGCCTGTAATGCCAGCACTTTGAGAGGAGGAGGAGGGAAGATCATGAGGTCAAGAGATCGAGACCATCCTGGCCAACATGGTGAAACCCCCATCTCTACTAAAAATATAAAATGTAGCTGGGCATGGTGGTGCCCACCTGTAGTCCAGCTCCTCAGGAGGCTGAGGCAGGAGAATCGTTTGAACCCACGAAGTGGAGCCTGCAGTGAGCTGAGATTGCACCACTGCCCTCCAGCCTGGTGACAGAGCAAGACTCCATCTCAAAAACAAAACAAAACAAAACAAAACATACTGTGAGCGGAGAGACTGTGCTTTTTGCTGAAGGAGACATCTGAAGATGAGTGGATAGGCAGTCCTTGGACACACCTGTATCTCACCTGTAGGCCAGTTCTACGAACAGGGTTAGAAACACGGCATCCATTGTTCTTGCTGTTTCCCAGGAGACAGCTTCTATTCCTCAGTCTTAGACTTTGAGTTTCCACACTTAGACCCTGCTTGCTGCATTGTATGTCCCCTGGTTCTCCTCCCACCTGGATCAGGGTAGGGCTCTCTTCAGCCTTTCTGGGCTCCCTCAGCACTACCTGAAGCCCACCAAGGACCCACAGAGATATCAGGAACACCGCTCTGCACACTGTAAGAAGGTGCTCTTCAGGGGTGCTATCTTTAAAAATCCAGGCTGGTGCGATCTCTTGCAGGACATGTAGGGGAGTGACCATATGGAGGCCACTGGTCTCCATGTACTGACCAAAGCGAGGCCTTCTATGGGTAAATCTAATTGTTAGAAACTTCTTGCACCTCACCTAGACTTCCCCTGTCACTTCACCTTCAGGTTCAAAAGAAAATGGAGATAAGGATGGTAATGGTGCCCAAGAAAGAGCTCTCCAGTCAACAACTTAATATGATTTAATGGTACTAAGTCCTATTTCTGGTCTAGCCTCCATCCTCACCCCATGTGGCTGAAGTGTCCTTTCCCATTAACTAGGTACATCATGAAATAATTTAATTAAATGCGAATCTTCCCTCATAAAACGTTGTGCAAAGGAAATCAATTTCCAGTGTTCCCAGCACTGTGGTTCTAGGCACCTGGACCAAAGAATTTCAAAGTGTTGGGAAAAATTTTAAAAGGACAAAAAAACAAAAAAGCAGCTTTTTCGAAATTAGTGCTAAGGATTGAACTGTAATATATCTCCCTGAATTCATATGTTGAATCCTCAATGTCAATATATTTAAAGATGGGGCTTTTAGGGAGGTAATCAAGGTTAAATAAGGTTGTAAGGCTGGGGCCATAATCCGATGGGAGTGTCCTTATGGGAAGAAAAGGAGACATCAGAGAGTACTCCCTTGGTGTGTGCACAGAGGAAACACCACTTGATGACACAGCGAGAAGGTGGCCATCTACGAGGCAGGATGAGAGCCCTCACCAGAAATCAAATTTACTCACACCTTGATCATGGACTTCTAGTCTTGCGAATGGTGAAAAAATAAATGTCTGTTGTCTAAGCTGTCTAGTCAGTGGTATTTTGTTATAGTAGTCTGAGTAGACTAGACTAACATAAAAAGGAATACTCAGCACAGTGAATGTGGGGACCCAAAATGTGATTTAGAACATGAAGCTGGCTTTGGTCTTGAGTACCTTTTAAAAACTTGGTCAATATAGCTTCAGTTTTCAGAAACTCATAGAAAAGAGGGAACATGAGACAGAATTCAGGGCCTGGCATGCCCATGGCATGAGGGTGAATTAGAAATAAGCCTATCTTCCTTCTCACCTGTCACTACCACCCTCCAAGTGGATATGGAGGCTGACTGTTTATCTTAGACCTCCTTGACACTGGGTAGACAAGAACCAATATTTCCACTGAGAACTCATAACAATAAGTCAGCTTTCACATGGAATTGCAGTCTTCATATTACTTGGGTGGTTTGAAACCTCCATACTGAGAATTTTGTGTGAAGAGGTTTCTGGCTGGTAATGTCCCCAGCACTAGGCAGAAGCAGATGCAAACCCTCTCTGGAAGGAACCACCTTTTACCCAGGTCTCAAAGAATTCCCAGGGAGAAAATTTACCCTTCAAACCATGTAATCAAACAATATAAAAGAAGGAAACATGGTTCTGGGAGCAAGAGGTGAGAAACAACAGGCAACAGAATCAAACTGGCAAAAACTTCAGATATTGACATTAACAGACATAACATATAAAATATGTATGTTTAATATATGAAAGAATTCAAGAATGATCTAAACACATGAGTAAGGAGCAAGAGACGATAAAATATGACAACACGACTAAGAACATTTGAAAAAATAAAATAGGGCTTCATAAAGTATAAACTATATTTGAAATTAAAATAAATCTTCGGTGAATGAATTTAACAGAGGCTAGACACAGCTGGACAGAGAATTAATGAACAGAATGAGAGAGGTTAAGAAACATAAAAGATGGAGTGAGAAAGATTAACATATCTAATCAGACTTCTAGAAGAAGAAAAAAGAAAATAAAAAAGAGGCAGTAGTTGAAAAAATAATGGCTGCACATTTTCCCAAGTTGATGAAAGATACAATCCACAGATTAAAGAAACTTAATTCAAATAGGATGAATACAAAAATATTCACACCTAGACACATAAAGGTGAAACTACATAACACTAAAGAGAAGGAAAAGACAGTAGGAATAGCCAGAAGGATGTTATATGAAGCAATGGCAAAAAACTGACAGCAACAGTGAAACCCAGAAGTCACCAGAACAATATCTCTATGAGCAAAGAGAATGTAACTATCAACTGAGAATCAAATGTCCAGTGAGTACTAGCGTTTTTTCAAGAATTTTCAGACGAAGAAAAAATTATACATCAGGTTCTATGCTCACAAACTCATACCCCAATCTCAGCATCATGCAACATATCCACGGAACAAACCTACACATAGACCCCCTGAATCTAAAGTAAAAGTTGAAATTATTCCTAAAAATGACAAACAAGAACTAATAGAATTTGTCATCAACAAGAAAATAAATTTTAAAGCATGTATTTGCACTGATAGATATTCCAAAGAGAAAGACTGATATACAAGAAGGAGTGGTAAACAAAGAAGTGAATATATGAGTAAATCCAAGTGGACAGTGGTTTTATTAAACAATAACAATAATGACTTAAGAAAATTTAAGGTAACATAATAATACACACCAGAATCAGAGGGAATGACTGAAGTCATAGTGTCCTATGATCCTTGGCTTTTCAGGAAGAATATTAAATTGTTGTTTAATGCTAGGCTTTATTAAGCTGGCATATTCCTATTTCTAGAGTATTTTAGGATACATTTCAAAGGATAGAAATGATTATATAATTCACAAGGCCTAAATTCTTTAATTAAAAAATAAATAGTCAGATGGGATTTTTAAAAATCCAGCTATACACCAAACACATATAAAGCACAAGGAAGTCGAAAGGTTAACAGTAAGAGAATAGAAAATATTTATTAGACAAAGACCAATAGAAAACTGATGTAATGGATGGAGGGAAAAGCCTTTAAGGTTAAAAACATTACTATGGATAAAGAGAGTTAGTACATAATTATGTTTGAAAAAGTTCAATTCACTAGGAAGATATATAATTCTGAATTTCAACTTTCATACTCTAATAACACTATCTGGAAATACATAAAGCAAAAATTGACAGAACTTCAAAGAATAATAGACAAACCCACCATCATAATGGGAGATTTTAATATTCTTCCCCCTGTAGCTGATTGATCAAGAAGACAAGAAAAACCAATGAAGATATAAAGGATATAAACAAAATGAGCAAACTTGATGTAATGGACATATCAGAAAGCAAAAACCATAAAATGAAGGTTTTTTTCAAGCCTATACAGAATCTATGTGAAAAATGACCATTTCTGGTCCCCAAAGCACAAATTAAGATGATTCAAATATAGATCAATGTTCTCTGACCACAAGATTTAGAAACAGTAGGAAAGAGACAGCTAGAAAAATCCTTTGGAAATTAAAAAATACTTCTAAATAGTTCATGGTTAAAAGATGAAACAATAATGTAAATTTTAAAATATTCAGAACTAAACTATAGTGGAAAAATAAATAATAACTATAAAAATCTGCAGGAATGTAGCCAAAGTAGTCCTTAGACTAAGGAAAATTTGTAGCCTTTGATGATTAAATCAGATTGAAAAATAATGAACAAAGCATCAAAATTAAGATGCCAGAAAAAGAACAACACAGTAAACCCAAGTGCATTAGAAGGGAGTAATAAAGATGAGAGCAGAAACTGATAAATTAGCAAATAAATGTATTAAAAGGAATAGTAACAAAACAAAAATTGGTTGACTGAAAAAACTAACAAATATTAAACCTCTGGTAACACCAATTAAAAAATGATACATATTAAAAATGAAAAAGGGAATTGAAACACAATTGCAAATATCATAAATATAATAATAGATACTATGTATAACTTTATATCCAATAAATTTTAATATTTACTAAAATGAAGTCAAGAAAAAAAAAACAGATGACCAAAATAATTCTTTAGTCATTACATGTATTAAGTCTATAGTCTAAAATCTTTGAACAAAGGAGATACCAGACCCAGATAGTTTTGCTGAGAAATTCCACCAAACTTTCAAGGCAAAAGTTATGCCAATCTTCCACTAATAACCCCAAAGAATAGAAAAAGAGGAAATATTCTTCAAATCATTTTGTGAGGCTAGCTATATAATGACACAAAAATTGGCAAAGGCAATATGAAAAAAAATAACAGGCTAAGCTCACTAACAAAATAGAAACAAATTACTAAACTGAATCAAATATAGGCATGTATAAAAATTATGATACTAAATGACCATGTTATGTTAATCTTAAGAATGCAAGGTTGGTTTAACATGAGAAAAGGCAATATTTGCTATCCTAAGAGAATAAAGGAGAAAAATTTTATGATTGTGTCAATAGTATATAAGAAGATGCCAATATTCAACATTCTTAAAGAAAAGAACTTTCAACCCAGAATTTCATATCCAGCCAAACTGAGCTTCAGAAGTGAAGGAAAAATAAAATCCTTTGCGAACAAGCAAGTACTCAGAGATTTTGTCACCACCAGGCCTGCTTTACAAGAGCTCCTAAAAGAGGCACTACACATAGAAAGGAACAACCAGTACCAGCCATTCCAAAATCACACTAAATGCTAAAGAGCATCAACATAATGAAGAATCTACAACAACTAACAGGCAAAACAGCCACTTAGCATCAAAATGGCAGTATCAAATTCACACATAACAATACTAACCCTAAATGTAAATGGACTAAATGCACCAATCAAAAGACACAGACTGGCAAATTGGATAAAAATCCAAAACCCATCAGTGTGCTGTATCCAGGAAACCCATCTCACATGCAAGGATACACAAAGGCTCAAAATAAAGGGATGGAGGAAGATTTACCAAGCAAATGGAGAGCAAAAAAAAGCAGGAGTTGCAATTCTCATCTCTGATAAAATAGACTTTAAAGCAACAAAGATCAAAGAGACAAAGAAGGCCATTACATAATGGTAAAAGGATCGATACAACAAGAAGAGCTAACGATCCTAAACATATATGGACCCAATGCAGGAGCACCCAGATACATAAGGCAAGTTCTTAATGACTTACAAAGAGACTTAGACTCCCACACAATAATAGTGGGAGACTTTAACACTCCACTGTCAATATTAGACAGATCAACCAGACAGAAAATCAACAACGATATCCAGAGCTTGAACTCAGACCTGGAGTAAGCAAACCTGATAGACATTTACAGAACTCTCCACCCCAAATCCAGAGAATATACATTCTTCTCAGCACCACATCACACCTACTCAAAAATTGACCACATAATTGGAAGTAAAGCACTGCTCAACAAATGCACAACAACTGAAATCATAACAAACAGTCTCTCAGACCATAGTGCAATCAAGTTAGAACTCAGAATACAGAAACCAACCCAGAACCGCACAACTTCATGGAAACTGAACAACTGGCTCTTGAATGTTGACTGGGTAAACAATGAAATAAAGTCAGAAATAAAGAAGTTCTTTGAAACCAATGAGAATGAAGACACAACATGCCATAACCTCTGGGACACATTTAAAGCAGTCTCTAGAGGAAAGTATATAGCAATAAGTGCCCATATGAGGAGAATGGAGAGATCCAAAATTGACACCCTATTGTCAAAATTGAAAGAGCTAGAGGAGCAAGATCAAAAAAATTCAAAACCCAGCAGAAGACAAGAAATAACTAAGATCAAAGCTGAACTGAAGGAGATTGAGACACGAAAAACCCTTCAAAAAATCAATAAATCCAAGAGCTGGTTTTTTGAAAAGATCAACAAAATAGACAGACCACTAGCCAGATTGATTAAAAATAAAAGAGAGAACAACCAAATAGATGCAATAAAAAATGATAAAGGGGAAATCACCACAGATTCCACAGAAATTCAAACCATCATCAGAGAATATTACAAACAACTCTATGCGCATAAACTAGTAAACCTGGAAGAAATGGATAAATTCCTGGACTCCTGTGTCCTCCCAAGCCTAAACCAGGAGGAAGCTGAAACTATGAATAGACCAATAACAAGGTCAGAAGTCGAGGCAGCAATTAAGAGCCTACCACACAAAAAAAGCCCAGGTCCAGATGGGTTCACAGCCGAATTCTACCAGACACACAAAGAGGAGCTGGTACCATTCCTTCTAAAACTATTTCAAACAATCCAAAAAGAGGGAATACTTCCCAAATCATTTTACGAGACCAACATCATTCTGATACCAAAACCCGGCAGAGACCCAACAAGAAAAGAAAACTTCAGGCCAATATCCATGATGAACACTGATGCAAAAATCTTCAATAAAATATTGGCAAGCCGAATGCAACAGCAAATCAAAAAACTTATTCACCGTGATCAAGTAGGATTCATCCCGGGGATGCAAGGCTGGTTCAACATACGCAAGTCTATCAACGTAATTCACCACATAAACAGAACCAAAAACAAAAACCACATGATTATCTCAATTGACGCAGAGAAGGCATTTGACAAAATTCAACAGCCCTTTATGCTAAAAACCCTCAATAAACTCGGTATTGATGGAACGTACCTCAAAGTAATAAAAGCTATTTATGACAAAACAGCCAATATCATACTGAATGGGCAAAAACTGGAAGCATTCCCTTTGAAATCTGGCACTAGACAAGGATGCCCTCTTTCACCACTCCTATT